GGGGGGGGGGAGAAATGACCCAAACAATGTATGCACATATGAATAAATGAATAATTAAAAAAAAAATCTTGGGTAAGCTTTACGGTTAAAACATTCACATGCTGGCTCACGTATAGTGCTTCAGTGTTACCACTTATAACTCCTCTGTATTTTTAGTCAGGGTGGCTAATTGAGCTTGAGGTGACTGTGAACTCAAAATGTCCTGTCCCATTGGGAGTCACAATTTCAATTTCACCCCTTCTCCTGCCCTGAGTCCAAGGCTGATTCCTTCCAGACTCCTTTGATCCTTTGGTTTCCTTTTCTTGTTGGCCTCTTACAAGTCTGAAGATGAGGATATTCATGGTTGGTTGAGGACACGAGGAAGAATTTACTCTGTCCCTTCTCCTCCCTGCGTACTCCAACCACAAGACCACTTTGCTGTCTTTGGGGTATGTCAGTAGGGTCTATGGGGTGGATCATACTCTCCTACCTCTCTTTTATCATCTACCATGTTCCAGATGATTTGAAAGTGTCGAAGATCATTGTAACTTAAAAGCTGGTCCTCCTCAGTGGAATAAAACAGGGAGAAATTTTCCACAATTATGGCTAAGGAAAGAAAAAGGAAAACTGAGAAGTTAGGGAATTGTGTTGATCTGTCATATTTGAGAAAAAGTAAAACATCTATTATAAATAATGGATTTTATCACCCAAATGATATAGCTAAACATTTAAAGTTCTTTTAGTCTGGTTTCCAGGTTGGCAAGCTTCAGACTTGAACTAAGCTATTTATCTAGTCTGTGTGTTTTCAAATTGTGAGGATCACCCATGCACACACTCTGTGGATGTGGACACCTATGCCAGCTGGCTTAACTCTTAGCTGAGAGGCCCAGGGCAGATTTTACAGGTCATAGGGGGTTCATAGATAGATGAACATGAATCTTTCAAAAATGAAAATGTTTTTGCGAGGTGGCCTTCCATGTATTCGTACCACTCAGTCCCTGGGAAGAGGTCTTTTGAAATTAATGATCATCATGAACAGTACAACTCTTGAAATTGTAATCAACTGCCATTTACATGCCTTTCAAAGGTCTTTTCAGCTTCTAGATTGAGAGGCAACAATTTATAATTAATGCCAAGAAACACCCATCCAACGCAATCCAGGATAATTACTTGAAATTGTACATAATTATCTAAGTACCTGAGTTTAAAGAGTAAAAAGATAGTCAACGAATATCACTTACCTACGAGCAGATTTAGCATGATGTAGGCAATGATGACATAAAATGAACAGAAGTACATAAGTGCTCCAGCATAATTTCCACAGTCTGTGGCCCAGTATGTAAGTTCATCTGGAGTACAAAATGGAGGCTGAACCTGTGGGGTGGTGGAAGGAGAGAGAGGAGAGGGAGAGGAGAGAAGAATTCAAATTTCTGCTGATTGTTGGGAGTGAACATATTCTTAACCATACAAAATTCAATTAATTTTAAAGTCACCTTGTAAGGGCTTCATACATTAGCTATATCATCTGTAGTAAAAATCAAAAAAGAGTATTTCATTTATGCTATGCTTTTAGTCTTGTAGAATCTCAAGTTCATTGTCATTGTTAGAAGCACAATGAAAGTGGACTGTTTTCTTCCACTCGATACTCTTTCTGCCATTTCCACTAACCCATAGAGAAAAGGAGCCACTAGGATCAAACTACAGGAAGTCTAGCAAAAAGTCATTTAAAAATATTTCTGATAGGTTAATATTTAGAAAGATAGACTGCATATAGTAAATTCATATTCAAATCATATAAGGAGTAATCCCAGTCCTGTGTAACCATTATGGGATGCTATAATTCAGTATTATGGGATACTGAATCTTATGGAACAAGACTCAGGTTATCAAAAGCCTTCCCATTATTTAGGAGTCTGTTAAAATGCCAATGCATCTTAGAAACTGTCCTGGTTCCTTTCAGCCAGAGCTCTTTCTTCCGTGTTCTGCAGGTGCCTTTATTTATTTAGACTTTATTCAACTCTGCTTTGGGTTATATTGATTTGATAAATTCTACTTCCATTATTTCTATGTAAAGTTCTCTAGCTCCTACTATATGCTAGGTTTGTGCCAAGCATTGGGGGCAGACTGATAAGAGAGATGCAGTTCTGTCCCCTGAGTGCTGCTGACAGTCTAGTATCACAAGTGCAACCCAAGGGCTACTAGCTCCATGTGGCAATTTCAGTTAATGTTAATAAACATTAAACAAATTTAAATTAATGTAAAATTCAGTTCCTCAGTTGCACTAGTCACATTTCAAGTGCTCAGTAGTTATGCATGGCTAGTGGCTTCCTGAATTGGATAGCACAGATTTCCATCATTGCAGAAGTTCCAATAGGATAGCATTGGTTGGCAAGGTGAGAGGGAGATGAAATAAATTATTGAAGACAATAGTTCTCTGGCATTGTAATACATTCTCCAACGCAGAAATATAGTGTTGTGGGAACATCTAACCTGCAGTCTTAGCGCAAGGGAAAATGCCTGAAGGAACTGATGTTTAAATGAGGCCAGAAGGAGAACAGAGAGTTAGCTTGGCAAAGGCAGGATATCAGAGGAAGAGGGGCTCAGAGCCTATGACCCATGTGGGGCTTGGCGAGTATCTGTTGAATACATTAAATTAAGGAAGTGGAGACCCCCCCACCCTGTTTGCCAAGGTATTAAAGATGGAAGGGAACGAACACTATGCAAATAATGTGTATTGTTGAATAGGACTACAATAGCTCATTAGGTTAATTGAGTATTTCCCTGTGTATTCATACACTGCATTGTAAAAGAATGTAATGTACACAGCAAATAGGTAAGAAATATACTTTTTTAATACAAAGTCTAATGTCAACAAGGAAGATACCCCCAATATTGCGCATTTCAGAGAGTCGAGGCACTAGTAGTGAAGAGGGAATATTTACCATGCAATCGTGCATAATCTTGTTCCAGTCTTCACCTGTGACAATTCGGAATAGCACAGTGATAGCTTTTCCAGCTGAAGAAAAATTTGCGTGCCTAATTTAAGAAAAAAAAAAATCTCAGAATGTGAATAGTAAGATTTGACACAAAGTAGCATGGTTTGTCACCACCAAAATAGGTGGATTTTGCTGAAAATTTGGTTGACACTTTCCACTGTTTGTCATTTATATTTTCCCACAAGTGATCTGATAAGCCAACCAATTTATTGCTATCAATTTATTCCCATTCCTCTCGAATGATTGAGTGAGCTTTGGCAAGTAAAAGGGATTCCCTTTTTCACTTGGTCTATACCGTGAGAGGAGAAGCAGCCACACATCGAAGAGCAAGTCATCTTAATTTTTTCATCTAAAAAATAATCTATTATCTTTGGGATAATTGGTACTTTGTTATTCCCGAGGGTTGGTAGAAGCATGGATTTCTTTTCTTTTCCTTTATTTCTTAATTTTCTAAGTTTTCTAAAGTACACATGCATATCTTTTTCATTTGGAAGATGTCACTGAAGATTTGGATATTTTATTTTATTTTAATTTCCAACCAATTGCTTTCCTTTTCTTCACCTCTAGTTTTTAAGAGTCAAAAACATTTAAATTTTTATTCATGATTTTACTGATGAATAGAAATACAGCTATATGCCAACCTGTTAATGTTCTCTCCGTATTTCACAGTGCCAAATAAAACAACTCCAGCAAAAGCGTAACACAGCAGCAAGAGGAACATTCCTACTATGATGAAGAAGCTTTTGTACATGCTGACAACCACTGTCAGGAGAAGCATCTTCAATGTTACCTGGAAGAGGAGGGATACAGTGTTGTGGAGAAATGTGGGGAGGGGACAGTGGGAGACAGACAGTCGTCCGTGTGTCAAGCTGTGGAAGACCTGGGAACTGAGTAATATTTAAGCAGGTTGGCTCACAAGTGATTCTCAAGTATATTATTTGAAAGTTTCTTCCTACTAGGCATTAAATCTAAACACTATTCAAAACCCACCAGGCACTGAGAAATTCTACTCATACTTCAAACTGTTCAGTCTCTCCAGCCAAATTAATAAAAATAATACTTGGTCTTCCAGTTTCTCTCCTCTTGCTCTGAAATTTACTATTAACACTGCACATGTTTTACTGTAGCAAATAAACTCAGTTTTACCCACCGACTTTCACAAAAGCAAGTCTAAATAATGGCACAATACTAAATAATCATCAAATTATTAAATATATTGATTATGTGGACATATGGGATGTATATATGAAATAATGCTAGTAACAAAAAGGAAACAAAATTTCTAAAATATGAAAAATGTAAGTAGAGATGTATGCATGAATATTAACAAAGAAATCAATCACTGGTCAGTGAGGATTTTTTTTGTTTGTAATAAAGTTACTTAACATAAACTAAGGCACACTAAGAAAGACTTTTGTTTTCACAACTAATATATTATCTTGCAATTATGATTGAGTTTATCCAGCAAACATGAAGATTAAACATATATGGCAGGAAACATACCACAAAATAACAAAGCTCCTGATTTATTTTAATAATATTTGTATTAATCTTTACTTATGATGTCTAGTAATTTCTTGAAAACAGCTCTAAACACCTAGGATAGCGAAGTCACTGACCACCACTCTTTCTTCAATACATATGTGACCTTTGGTAGGATTCTTCATGGCATACTCACATGTTTTCCACAGATGGAGAAAAACCTAAAGACAATCACACACGCTCCCATCATGTAGGTATATGCATTCTGAAATTTAAACAGAAGACAGCCTCTTATAATTTGCACAAAAGATTTTGTTACAGTTCCATTTTTCATTTTAAGTCTTCTGTGAAGTCTACTGAATAATTAGTTTAACAAAATGTGAAAATTCATATAAGAAATTTAACTAAAAAAGGTGCTGAAAAGGTCACTGCCAAAACTCATGAATAAATATTAGATATAAAGTCAACTCTCAAATGAAACTTTGGGCTTTGTTTTGCTCAGTTGAATTCTGTATTTTGAAAGTTATTTTACATAAAACAGCGACCAGTTCCTTTGAGGACAGGGGATGGAAATGCAGTAGAACCATGCACCACGAGGAAGTCAGTGAGATAGAAAATAAGGGGATACTGATGAAGAGAAAGGGCTGATGCTGAAAAGATTATTGAAGGCAGACTCTTTCCCTCTGAAGACCAGTCACAGGGTCACTAGTCTAAGCCTGTTTCAGAGACCATCCCCCTATTCAGGAACACATGCAGCTCTTTCTTCAAGTATGTGATTAGAGCAAGCAATGACTCTGTGCTTTCTGACTAAGAAGGCTTCCTCTGAGAATCAAAGATGCCACTGGCTACAATTGCAATAACTTTGACATTCAGCTGATGCCAAAGTGGCATCACTCTCCATCATGCCTCGCCAAATGACAACAGTCACAGATGGCCCCTGGGAAGGGGGTCCAGTGAGATCCTTGGTGAGGCACAGGACAGGAATGTGCACACAGAGAATCTGTGGATGAGGGACAAGGACCTGTGCCTTCTTTCCCAGCAGTGCACTGCAAAAATATGGCAGAGAAAGATCACTCTTCTGATCCCAGAGGTTCTTGGGGAAAGAACAAAATCAGTCAAGCAGAATAGGCAAGTTAGTCTTTGGGGCTTAGAATTTCCTTTCTGGTGCTGTCTGGGATTGGGAAGTTTATTCTTTTGCTTGGTCTGAGTAGCTTTTAGCTAAAATTTATCTAGCAAAAGAAGAAACACGGGCTTTGTTTCCTCTTCTTTTCATGTTATCTTAGGATCTATTATCTTTGCCCTTTAAGTTCTGGAAGTAATAAAAACCAACAGTTTATAGGATGATGACCCACTGATTTTCATCTGGACCACAAGGTCCGAATCTTGTACCATGGCACCCTCGCTCCTTATACTCCACCCAAGTTATCTCACTTTCCTCCGCTCCCATACCCTTGCTTCATAGGGATGACTGCCTGAAATGCTCTCCCCTCACTCTGAAGATGACACCTTATCCTCACCCTCTTAGGGATGGATACCTTCCAGGACCATTTTGATGAAGCCACCTCCCACTCCTACATGTTGTCACAGGAACATGGGTGCCCTTTTCTGCACCATAGCATAATTCTCATTGATTTGTGAGCATGCTCTGAATATCTGTTTAGCTTTCCTGGCTATAAGATTACCAAGCATAATGACTGTCTTTGGTTTGCTCATTTTATTCTCAGTTTAGCACAATGCCTATACATTTTTATGCTCAAAATCCTTGATTTTTTTGAGAAAACAAATTGAAGTTAAATGAGAGCTCAAATAGTCCCTGATGCTGAAGGCAACCACTGGTTTAAAAGGGACATTCAATATGTGCATATAGAATTTCATACTGAAGCAGGCCTCTCTGATGAGATGGGTAAATGAGTTCTATGTGTTTGTGAATCTTTGTTGACATACCATTATTATTAAAGATGGTGGGAGAATGGAGAAAAATGGATGATATTATTTTTGGCTGGTTTCAAGGATGACTAAAAAACAAAAGGTATTTAAAATGTACCTTATGGGGTTGGTATAATCTTTACTGTTTGTGGAAAGTTTACATACATGGTCTTCATAATGGAATAGGTGGGTTATGAAGTTATAGCTCAAAGTTCAGAGCAGGAAAGAAAGGATAAACAAAGACACATAACTTAGTCAAGGCTGGAAAATGGTAGAACTGAGACTAGAGCCCAGATCTTCCAAAACCACACTGCCCAATATCCACAAATGGTTACTGCACACTTGAAAAATAACCAGTTCAAAATAGGATGTGCTGAAAATGTGAAACCCACATTTAAAGATTTCACACCAAGGAAAAGAAGAATGTAACCTGTTTAATACATTTTTATATTGTTTATTTGTTGAAATAATAGTATTTTGGATTTGGTAAGGAAGAAAAAATTTAAATTTATTGTTATCTGTTTCTCTTCAAATTTTTAATGTAGCTCCTAGAAATTTTTAAATAACGTTTGTGGCCACAATTTATTTCCACTGGGCAACCTCACTCTAGACTATAGTCAAGCACATCTATGCCTATAGATTTTGAGCTGGTTCTTAGAATAAATGGAAAGTGAAGGTATTTTAGGGAAACTAGTGAGAAAGCATACGTATAGAGATGAAAAGGATGTGTTTTAGAGAACTGGCAGCTAGATGTCTGGAGACAATAAGGCAGTGGAAGTAGCTATGAATTAAATTAAAAATACTGACTATATGGGAGTGGGATGGAGGCTACATGTGGGTGCAGAGAACAGGGCTTGAGTCTTCTGACACCAGCCTGCTTAGGAATTTAGACAGAATCTTTAATCTTGGTTTCTGTTTTCCTCATTCTTTATTGTCTTATTCTTTGGTAAAACAAAGGCAAAATGAGAAGATGGTCAAGATTCTTCTTTCTGGCTTGCACACTCTAAGCCAGGTTTTGCCTGTGTGAAGAGTGTGGGTGGGTGCACACATGCACATGTATGTGCAACCATGTCGAAAGACCATCCTGGTCAAAGTTGGGCTCAGGAGGTTCATCTAACACCCAAGACTCGTTGACATGGAGTGGAATGAGACTGGAAACAGGACTGAACCAAGTGGAACTGAAGTTGTTAACTAGAATAAAGTTGAATTATGTGCCTACCAGGAGAGCAAAGTGAAGCACCACCCACACGACACCGAGGGATGTCACCAGGAGGTCGTATCTATTCCTTCTGCTCTGCCAGAAGCCAGCAGGTGACATGGCTATGATCTTCATGGTAACCTGGAGAAAGGTAATGGAGAGAATAAACAGAGAGTGAGTGCTTGGCACATGTTTAACTCTATTGACTTGAAGTAGATTATATTTTTAAAGATGTAGTGAGCAGAAAGAAGAGTGTATCACCAAGATATCCGATTTTATGTTTGAAGCTAAGTAGGTTATAAATCTATATTCTCCACACTCTTGTTTTATGGGTAGTTCTGACAGCAAACCATTTTTCTTTCTCTAATAAAAAAACATAGATTTTGGGAAACACCAGGCAGTTTAGGGTGAAATGAAAATCTACTTGTGTGTCAAAGAAGATTGTACTGCAAAGCGATATTTTATACAGAGCAGTAATAAAATAATCTTTGCTGGCCAACTGTTTTCTTTGCCACCACAGTGTAATTTGAATCCCTGAATTATAGTGGCTTGTGCAGTTTGCTCTAATTATTTGAGCTCACATAAGTAGATAGGCCACCATTCAGATACAAGAGTTGACAGCAGCATTTATGCAGTTAGAACAATTGGAACTGTAAAGTAAAATCTTTGTTCCAGGCAAGAGAATAGCCTAAAAATGAAAATAGTCTAAGAGCATGCTCCCAGTGCCCCTTGTCCCCCTAGAAGGCTTCAAAGACAATGGAACACAGAATTGGAAGTGAATACCATCAAAGGGGAGACACCAATTTATTTTAAAATTGTACACAGCTCCCCCCCAGAGCCAGATGACTCATTACTGTACCTCTAGAACAAAGATGAAGGTGAAAACAACCGACATTGTTGCCAAAGGGACAGTCACAGGGTCTTCGACATCCCACTGTAACCAGAAGAATACACAAGTCATTGCCACAACCACTGGATACACACAGATTCTGCCCCTCAGCTACCCATTTTTACACAGCTGTGAATCTTTTTTATTGAAGGACACATGCAGGTGTGCATGGCAGTTTGCAGTATTCCCGGATGTTGCAGAAATAGAAAATTCACTCCCAGGGTCTCAGGGTGAAGTGAAGTACCTTGACGGACAGCAACACAGACTGTGCCAGAACAAGTAACGCAATTGTCCTCTTAAAAAACGGGTGCTGGGTTATGTCATACATTTTAGCTCTAAAACCATCATTATCTGGAAAAGAAAGGTTTAAGTGAGGGCAATTTAGATATGGGTCACATTTACTTTCTTGTCTTTCATTTTCTTTAATGCTCATCTTAAAACCCATTACATTCTCCCCCTCCAGTTCAATCTATTGTGAAGTGTTTTGCAGGAACGGCTGGCTCTGAATATTTAAAACGACAGTGCATGACGCAGTCCGTATTGGAAGCAGAAGCACATCATTCAATTTCTGTCAGTTTAATACATTTCACTCATAATTTTTAAAAGGCAAGCACAAATATATTTTATTTAAAAATTCATTTTTTCATTAAGGCACATTCTGAGTGCACTGGAGCACAGCCTTTGGGGTGGCTGATTTTAATAGCCTTATTGAGAGCTGCAGTTTGGAGCCTGTTTCTGTATTAACTTATGCACACCTCGTAGTGGTCTCACAATTATTATTTTAATTGCAGTCTGAGGCTCCTGGGGAATCGTGAACACTAGTGCCCAACATGAATAAAATCAGAGCATCTTTGATACCCGGGCGAGGAGGGAGATGAAGAGGCTGAGCAATCTTCAGTCTACTCTTGAGATCTTCCCATCTCCTCTGATCTACGGTCAGCAGAGCCGTCCCCTTGACAAAGAAAGAAAGCAGCCAAAGGAAAAGGAAAAGGACATGGTGGATGGCATGGTTTTATACACAGGACTAGCACAGGGACTTTCAATAAAGATAGTTTGCAAACGCCACGGTGCCTAGGGAAATGTGCTCAGAATTCTCAAATCCGAATAGAGAAGAGTCCTAAAACGATGGCCATCTGTATCAGAGCATTCCGCTGCCATCAGTTTTTAATCTTTGATTTGGATTTGGGAAAATTGCAAGAAGTTTTCTACATGATTACATTTTCAAGAAAAGGATACTAATAGTGGTTAGTTTCCTTTCATTTCATAGCAGCAAAATTACAACGTGTCAAGCTGCTGCTTCTAGTTAAGGGTATTTTTCTTAAAAAGATTCTAATCTGTGCAATTGCAAACTATTTTTAAGAGGTATGAAGTTATAGAATTTGCCTCTTTAAGAATTAGTGCTGTGATAATTTCCTAAATGGGATCGGTATTCTGAATTATAAAGTAGAGTACTTGATAAAAATGCACATAAATTATACTGCATTGTATTATATTTTATTATGTAATAAAGGCAGAAGTGTAGTTGAAGAAACTGGGTGGAAAAAGAACCAGTGTCACCTCTATCCTCCTTTTCCTTCCCTAGAGCTGATGACTGTCCTTCCAGGGTACCTTATCCTTATTTGGTTTTCAGAATTTTGTGCCATAATGTATGTAATAAGTACAAAAGAATATATTTGTTTTGAATTTTTAAATTGACATAAATGGCAGGCAATATATTTTTTATGCACTTTGTCTTTATCTTCATTGAACAGTATGTTTTTCATATAGCTAGAGTCCTAGGCATAACATGTTCATTTTAATGGCTCACATAGAGAAGCCCATTGCAGAAATACATCAGAAGTTACTTGTTGTAGGTTTATGGACTATAAACAATGGTACAATGGACACTCAGGTGCTGTCTTGCAGTACACATCTATGAGAGGGTCTCCATTAAAAATCTCTAGGAGAAAAATTGCTAGTATCTAGGAATTTAAGCACATTTACCTTAGCAGGTATTGCCAAGTTGCTCTCCAAAGAGCAAAAATTTCCTAGCAATATACAAGTGTTCCCATTTTCCTATATTCTTGCCAATATTGACATCATTAGAAATTTTCTCAGCCATTTTGATGGGTGAGAGATGTGCTTAATTATTATTTTTTTTGAGGTACTGGAGTGTGAACTCAGGGTCTTGTCTTTGGTAGGCAGAGGCTCTACCACTTGAGCCACACCTCCAGCCCTTTTTGCTTTAGGTTATTTTTCAGATACAGTCTTGCGTTTTGCCTGGGCCAGCCTCAGTCTGTGATGCTCCTACTTATGGCCATTTTGTGTAGCTGGGGTGACAGGCACATGGCACCACAACTGGCTAATTGATTGACATGGACTCTCACTGATGTTTTTCCTCTGCTGGTCTTGAACCATGATCCTCTTAATCTCTGCCTCCTGAGTAGCTAGGATTACAGATGTGAGCTACTGCATCTGGCTACCCTAATTCAGTTTTAACACTGAGATGAAGCATTTCTATGTGTATAAATCGTGATTCTTCCATCTTCCTATGTGAATCGCCCATTCATATTCTTTGCATATTTTTATATTTTTGAGTGTTTTATAGAAATTTATGTATATATATGGACCCTATTTATTTCATATATATTCTTTATCTATTATTGATAGATAGTTGTGTGGTAGAAAGTTTTCAGTTACATGAGTTGTAAGTACAGTATTGTTTCTTGGTCTTGTACCACTTTTTTTTATAGTGCCTTTTGTCACTCAGACATTTTAATTTAGTGTTATCTAATTTATGAGCTTTTTCTTTATGGATCTTCCTTTATGGGTGGTACCAATGAATACACAACTTCTCCAGAATCCAAAATCAATACTTACATGATTTTAAAATGCCTTAAACTTTGCTTTTCATGTCTAGGTCTTCAAGTCATTTGAAATGATTTTGGAGGATGCTGTGAACTGGGGACCTCAGTTTAGATTCTCAGCTCCCACTGCTGGTCTTACTTTTTTGCACTGATCTGCTGAGCTGTACCTGTTTTCCATGCACTTGGCCTTTCTGGGTTTCTGCTCTGTTCTGTAAGTCTAACTTTCTATCCCTGTACCAACACCAACACTGTTGTAACTATAATGGGTTACTTAGTTTTCTTTCTTATATTTTTGTTCTTGATCAATCATGCTGGAAGTTTTTGGCTTGGTTTTCTGAAGGACCAGCTTTTTTAAAAAAAAAAAATTCTTGAGCCTTATAGAAGTTTCTTATTTTTCATCTCATTAATTTCTCTCTTAATATTTTTACTTCCTCCATTTAACTTCTTTGCTATTATTTTGTTGTTCTTACTGTAATTTGTTAATTTGGATACTTGACATTTTAACATTTGGTTTTTTAAACATACGCACTTAAAGTTATGGATTTCTCTCCATAACCCATTTATCTATACCTTGTGGGCTTCTATATTTGATGTTTTAAAACATTTATCACTAAAGATTTTGTGATTTTTTTAATTCTATTTCTTCTTTGACTAAAATAATGAATTAGGATGGTACCCTAATATTTATAAATTATGAGGGGTTTTGGCTATTTTTTTATGGTCAGAATACATTCTGTACATTATCAGTTCTCAGGAAATTACTGCTTTCTGGACTTTAGAGCATGTACTTTGTATCTGAAAATAATGTATGTTCTCAAATTGTTGGGATCAGGGCTTTTTAAATTGCATTAGAACAAATTCTTTTATTGTGTCAGATCTCATATGTCAGGCTGGCAGCGTGGCTCAAATGGCAGACTGTCTGCCTAGCAAACGTAAAGCTCTGAGTTCAAACCCCAGCACTGTCCCCCTAAAATCTCGTATGTCCTTTTTCTGTCTTGTTTATGAGTTTCTTAAGTAAACTGTATTAATATATCTCATATTTTGGATTGCAAGATTTTTTAATGACTTGGTTAACCATTGCTTTGAGAACATTGAGATGCAGAATTCTATATCTAGAAAGTGATTAGTGTTTTTGTCATTTATTAATTACACCACTTATCTTAATAATAGTATTTGCTTTTAATGATTTTTTTTCCTGATGTTAGTATTATTAAGCCACTTTTCTCACAAATTGCAAATAAATCCTTGTTCTCTAGACACAATAGACTTTAAAATTATTCTTTTGTTATATAAAACAAGATAGTTTGGAAAGGGAGCCAAAAGAATAATAAACAAGGAGTTGTCATTTGCTCATTAATATCTAAAAATCTCTGTATGTTTATTGTTATCAAATTAAGTGTATTATTCAAACACATTGTATCACGGTAGGGAACACAGAAAAAAAATCGTACTATTGGTGTAGGCTTGGAGCTTTGTAAAAAGGCTTCTATTTTCTAAGGCAGTCATAGTTTTGCATAATTCTGAATTTGGTAATATTGCCCCACTAACTTACCATATTTCTCAGATCTCTCTCTCTCTCTCTTCTTGGAAATGTATTTATACACCCTGGGTGTGGTGTTAGGATGTGTGCTCTGTGAGGGCAGGAATCTCTGTTTAGTGTTTACTTGAGTTTGTTACATGTTGGACTAGTACCCACCCAAACAAATCCATCGCATGACTGAATAACAGGTGAATAAATGCTGTCATATAGTTTCATGTGCTACCTTCTATAAACTTGAAGAAAAAATAAGTATGTTTCTAAAAGGCTTATATATTAGAAATTTATATCTCCAATTGACGAATCAAGTTTGAAATGTCTGATAAGAGGACTTCTACTATCTCCTTTTCTCTCAGTGCCCATTTGGGCTTCCACACCCCACTCCCAAACAGGCTGTGACTTTGGGCCTCCTTCAGAACATAGATGCAGTGTTGGAGGCAGACGTCCTTAGTAATTCACAGCCATTTCACCATGTTCAAGACTGGCAACTAATTACAGATTTTTTTCAGTTATTGAACAATTTATGTTGAATCATTTATGTCACTGAGTTTTGAGCTGTCATTGGACCCAGGAAATCAGGAGGCCATGCCATTCTGAGTGAGCAATGGCTAAGCTTTCTGGTTAACTGGCTGATTAGCTTCTGCTTATTTCCTGGAATTCCCAGTGTCTGCTCCACCATATGGCTCAAAGGCTTCTAAAAAGACCCATCTTCCTCTTTCTGCTTGAACACACTAGAGGACTTAGGGAAACTTGCTTAAGAACATGTTAGGAGGAAAAACAGAGGGGCATGCAATGTGGTCGCTACCCTTTTGTCTAACTCTAAGATTTCATGTTCCTTTGGGTTGGAGTAGTATCGAGGCCTAAGGGGGGATTTTTAAATTGCACTCTTTGAAAGCCTGAATGAAGTGACGTTACTCATTAGGCCCACATCAAAGGCGACAATCAAGACTGATTAAGTGGTACCACACACGTTGAGCCTGGGAACAGTGAATGATACTGTACCACGAGGAGCTACACAAACCAAAGAGCTCTGATGGGAATGCATGGGAATCAGCTGAAGCCCTGAATAACATCGAACAGCAGGTGCTTTGCAGGCAATTCTAGTTTGCAGTAGAGGTTTTTATACCCTTGCATTTGAAGAATCACAGACCTTGCAGTCACAGGCACAAAATCTGAATTCTGGCCCCAATATTTGACTCCTTATATGCCCTAGATAAGTTATTGCTTTTTCTTTGCTGGTGCATTTCAGAGTTGTAAGAATCGACAGTGGCATATGTAAAGTCTAAGTATGTCCTAAGTCTCAAAGACTATTCACTCCCATTATTATGATTCCAAAAGACTAACCCTTCCACTGTAGAGAGCTTACCAGCTACACCCTGAACAAGCATCTCTCCAAAGAGTGCTAATAGAATCTTCTGTCCTCAGCTCACTTTTTGATGGGAAACGACATTGCTGTCTACCCACTTGTGAGCCTTGTTCTGATCATTGGCTCTGTTACGAACACAGCATGCCTCCCGAGTTCATGAAGTACAGAAAGTTTATATGAAATGAGAAAAGCTTCTTTTTATTCTATGAATTAGGATTGAAAATTTGGTATGGTACCTCCCTACCCCATCAAAATTTTGAGTGCGCCCACTGAGTTACAAAGAGGCATGCAATTTACATTTTGTGAAAGTAATATTACGTGCAATCAGTGCATCACTTTCAGCTATTGTATTGTAATAACTCGCTACACATCCTTTCAATCTGAACAATGGGAGATGCGCTTCTCAGTTGTGGGTGAATTAATGACACTGTTACTAAAAGGGTAAATTTAGCAAGAGAATTGTACTCCTAAATAATGCACCTGAAAGGCAGCAATGAGGTGGCTTGTAAAATAGTTATACAGATTACCTATACCAGTCATATTACAGTTTAATACAATTTCATGCCGTGTGTGAAAAAAATAGCTCAAAGTGAGAGGTTGGAAAAGATAAAGCCTGTGGTATCAAATCAAGAAATCTTACCTTGTTTTCATTGAAATTAGCAATAACTACTCCAACAAAAAGGGTCAGTCCAATCATGCAACCCAGGAATACAAACACATGAATATAGATTCCATGGATCTGCATAAATGAAAAACAGGGGTATTCATCAAAGCAAACGAAAAGCCACCCTGGAAGCATTCAAAAGATTCAACGTGCTGCTTACCGGTCCCACACGATGGATAATGACATCCCTCACTTCCACCCAGCCTTTCAAGGACAGAACTTCAAACAATGCCAGCATAGCATTTCCCACATTGTCAAAATTAAAGTTCCGAGGATTTGCCCTGCAATTTAGAGAGATGGAGGTTGGGTGAAATTTGAATGTGAAGCACACTGTGGTCCACACTAGTGTCCCTTTGTAAGCCTGGGTGCAGGGTTAGCTTTGGGGAAGGCTGGGCTATGTGACACTCATTTGCCGAGTCACACCAGTGCATTAGTATGTTACACATATTTTGACGTTCACCAGGAAATGATGGGTGATGTTCTCAATCTAAAACAAAAAGTTCCACACCTCTAGATCCAGCCCAGAGGGTTGTAAAACCTCTTCAGTCTCATCCTGAAGACACTGAGGACTGGAAAGACAATGTTCTAGGTTGGCACAAAGGGACCCTGGATTATGGATGTGAATTTCCAAAGGGTTTTATAACTGAAGCTACGGGCCTAAGTTACAATCCTCTGTGCTTTGTCATCACTGCACTTGTGGATGAAGTAGTGATGCACTGAGGGACCCTGAGCTGTGAAAGGTCACCCACTGCATTTGTCTCCAGATCACTCCCCCCAAGGGGATGCTTTTCCCTCATGAATGCTGAGCCTTCTCAATAGACCCCTCTCATGATGCTAATACACAGTTTTCTGTTTATACCCACAGTCCATTCCTGACTCCTGAAACGCTTTGGCCCCATCATTATTTATTTTCTTTGGAGGAAGGGATGTCTCATTTCTTGTTTCTCTGGCACATTTATACTTCCTTTATTCCCCTTGCAAAAGTGATCCTTTCTCCTTTTTTGCACCTTCCTCAGTCATCATGAGTCTTAACTAACAATTTTTGTTGTTAATAGAAGAAACTTTCAGTGTTTTTTCCTTTTCTCCTTATTAGAGGTTATTTTAAAAAATCAAAGGATTTAGACAACCATACAATGGAAAACTAAAGATTATCTCTACTCCTTCTAAATTTGACAAAGAATTGAACTCTGGGTTGTTGAATACCTTGGGCCTACTGGAGCCTATTTATATTATATTTCAATTATTTTCCTGTTAGCTCCTATATCAAAATTCAACCCTCATAGAAGGCAGAACTCTGGGGAATTTGGTTCAGTATTTTTCTACTGTCCTTTATGCTTTTAAAACTATAGAGACAACCATGAGATATATCTTTATAATTTTTTTAATACTAAACATATGGGGATCTAGTAAGAAAGCACAAAAGTGACACCAACTTGTTCCTAAGGGGTTAAGACTGATTGGCAGAGACATTTTCTATATGGGATAAAAGCACTGTCCAGAAATTCATATGTTGGAATTCTGACATATTTTTATATGAAAGAACAAATGTGATTTATATGTTTTGTACGAAAGTACAAATATACTCTTTTGGGTTTTTCCAGCAACCACTCTTTGGGGAGGGTATCAGTGGAATTTCTTATCTTGTAGAATAGACATAGTGATGAAAATTCTTCATATGCTGCACTTTGCTTGAGTAAGGAGTTTTTAAACCAAGCCAGCCAGTTCTTAGAAGTGATCCTGGACTTTTGTTACTCATCTGTTTTCTTTCTGTAAAAGTGCTTTTTCAGCTAAATTTGCAACAACTTAAACTACTTTTATGTTGTGCATACTTTAGAAGTTAGAATATGTTAAAAATATACTTTTAGGCTAAACCAAGAAAAACAAAATGAAATATCACAGACTTAAGTAGTCAAGAAAATATATCACATTTAAAAAGGAAAGGTTTTTTAGTTTGAATCAAATGATATTTGGCTATGCTTTGCTCATGCTAGTAAAATTGGAAAGTTTGAAATTTCCCCTTTAGTAAACATAATCCACTCTTGTCATTTCATGTGTGGCCTTTACTTGAATTGGAAGGCTGTTTACATATCATCTTTTCTGGTTAATTTTTAAAAGATGATAATCTTATCTATCATATTCAGAAAACTAAGATGTTGGTTCTGACAACTGCTCCAATTCCAAGGCCCGTAAGGTCATGATAAAGGGAGCCACTGCTCCTCTGGGGAAGCTGAGGAGTCATGGAAATGTGACCTAGCTTCTGCCCTTGAATGCAGAAATGTGGGGAATGACAGCATCCAAAATGGCACACTATGCTTATATATTTCAGCCATCTAGCCTAAACAAGTCTCAAACTTTGTACTTCCCACAATGCACCAGCATTCCTTTGCCTCCAACTTTGCCAATATAGTTGCTTCAGCTTGCAATGTATTAGCTCTGCCTTGCTCTTCCCTTCCACCTGCCCCTGGCACTTCCCCCTTTTCCTGCCTAATTCCTGTTCCTTGTCCTTTGAATGTTAGCCAGTGTGCTGTCTCCTCTGATTCTCCAGTACTTTGGGTTAGGGGCTTCTCCTGGTGTGTGCCATGCACTGCACCTTTGCTCTTCTGTAAGAGTCAGAGGCAGATATTCCACAAAACTAAAGAACCTAAGACTTGGGGTCACTTTCTTGTACAGATCCCGTCTCTGACCCTGGTACTCCAAGTCATTTGAGACTTAGATCTCCTCCCCAAAACCTGATCTCCTTCTACTTAGACTGTAACTTAAAAAAATACCTGGAGATGAGCTTTGGGTGAGTTAGAATTGAGCTGGGGGACTTTTTGTGTGGCATCAAAGCCCTTAATATAGTATATGAAATTATCATTAATTTTATTTTCTGTTCTTCACTAGACTTCAGCTTGTAGGGAACAAAGTCCACAACTTATTCATGACTGAATCTGTGACAAGCGTAATATGTACCTGGTGAATTATAAGCGCTCAATAAATACATTTATTATAAATGGAATGCTTTATTGTTTTTTTTCTGATGTGTGTCATTTTCCTATATCCCAGACCTATACTTAAATAAAATAAGATACACAATATTTATAATATATGGTATGTTTAATGCTTTCTACTGGGGTGATTTTTATTTCATAAAGTCTGAGTGATTCAGAAGAAAATGAATTTATTCATCTGAAGAGGGAATATAGAAACCAGACTGTCTCCTGAGTTAGATAGTGCGTATTTATGTTAATTATAATTACCAAAGCTCTCCTCTAGGCATATTCCAAGATAAAAGTTATTTTCTTAATCATACCATAATTTATCCAATATAAAATTACAGAACTTTCAGCTTCTAACTCTTGAATAACTCACTAAAGAAGAACAATGTAAAAATTGTCATGCTTATGGTTGGCATTTATTAGACTGAGGATTTTTATTTCACTGCAATTAATCTAAGTCATGATATCCTGGACAAACCCACACAAACAATTGTAATGATGTTCAAATGATGCTCCTCTATTTGCTTTTAAAATGTCATTGAACTTGTCAATAACTTATATTAAAATATTGCACTTCAACTAAGTTTTATTTTAAAAATACCATGTAACTGGTTTTATGGGACAGGTTAAATGCCTCATGGTACAACCTGGGACAGGTCTCTAAACATTGCCTTCCAGTGAGTTCCCTCCTAATTATCTTTGGAGGTCCCAAAGGTTTTTGGTCACTTTCAGCCATAAGATTAGTCATAAGATCAGAATCTTCCTCCAGAGGGTGTGACTTTCAAACACAAATCACCTAGTCCAGCATCTCAGCGCCAACCTCCTCATCATCAATTTTGGACCTAATCACTCTAGGGCTAGGCACCAGATAAGGAGGGACAGGCTCTAAGTCCCAGAGCTTGCTGAAATGATTCAAATTAGCCAAATCCTAAGCCAGCTTGCCCTTCTCCCTGTTCCTGTGGAAACCACGACATAGGTTTTGGTCCCCCCCCCTAAGAAGTTGTCCCCCTCTCTGTACCTTGTTACTAATGTTGGTGCATCCCTTAGTGGTCTCCCAAGGCCTGTCCTCTTGGAACTGTAAGTAATTAACTACCTTTTCAAAGGCAGTTGTTGCCTGATTGGCTAGCCTTACTATACTTCAAATTTCCCATTACTACACTGTATTTGAAAACCAAAGCGCACCATTGCCTCATTCCAGCTTTCAGTGTGCAGTCTGGGTAATTCTTACTTCCTGCTCATGTAAACACACCTATGGACTCTTTTAATGGGGTCCTGTCTCCCCAGCATATGGCCCTTTGCAGCACAGTTCCATTCAAGATGGCTCAGACCAGGTGAGATAACCATGTTCTGTCAGGTGGGGAAGTACAGATTGCCTTGCCAAGCTTTGGTGTTAAGTTGTCCTCCTGCCAGCTACTCACTGCTTGTGTAGGAAGCATCTCCACCACCCTCTGTGGTGAGGAAGGGGGAGATGCCACAGTGCTCTCATTTACTTCCTCATGTTATCCTTGAGTGTAGTTTTCCTGTGACATAAAGTAGAACTTCTTAGCAAGTTCTGCTGGATCACTCTACTTGTCATCTTTGGTATGTAAGGCACTTTGTTCCCCATTGGCCTCAGCTTTGAGGTTTTAGCCCAAATCCCAAGATAATGGGGAAAAGATGCTATTTGATGACCTGATGTAAATAATTTATGATATAATGAGTTTTCATCTTACAAAAATAAACTTTTTATTCTTCTTTAATTTTTATTTTAAATTCTTTTGTTTGGAGGTAGGAGGATTTGAACTCAGGACCTCATGCTTGCTAGGCAGGTGCTCTACCACTTTAGCCACTCTGCCTGCCCTTCTTTAATTTTTATTTTAATGTAATGCTTTTCTAGTGTGTGTTAGAATGATGATGCCTTCATGGGTTATAAATCTTTCTATCCATTTTTGAGCTTCCCATCCAAACTCAATCTTCTTTCACAATTGTTGGATACTTAAAAAAAATTTTAAAAACCCAATATCAATCATATTTATTTATAAAAATGAATTCTATATACAGAAATGCCAAAGCAAGGTAGCAGTCAGTCCTAGGCTGTAGCTGAGTGAAATGCTATTCCCTTTAAAAAGTTTAGAAGACATCAATTGTAACAAAAGCACTTTTTGTGGTTCACTTGTTATCCTAAGAGGCAAAAAAGAAATTAAAAACGATAATTAAAAGGACAAATGAACTTGATAGAATACTCGGTTCATCAATGAAGCAGAGAGATTCCATTCATAGTCATTAATAAAATGGATGAGGAAAAAGGTTTTTTTTTGATAGAAATGCTTTGAAAATGCTTTTTTGAGAAAAATGAATTTTAGAGAGAATGAGACATAACTGTGTTACTGATTATTTCTCTCTGGTGTTTCAATCATGGAAACCCGTCAATGTAAGCGGGCTTTAAAATTGAAATAACTTAACCATGTAAGGCTCTCTACAAATGTTATAAGGACATCAGATCCCTTAAAGACATAAACTCAAAATGAGTTTAGCTGTAGTGTGATAGAAAATCTTTGTTTTTCAAGCCTCATTAACTTTTAAAGGTATTCGAATCCAGAAATGTACTTATTAAGTATTAGAAAATACTGAGGTAGAATTTCCTCAGTTTCATGGAGCAACATGGAATCCAACGTACCACTTTCTCTCTCGTGGCCTCCTTTTCATACTCTGTTGTAACCCAGTGCTTTGCCCTGTGTTAGTTAAAATCTTTTTTTTTTTTTTTGCTAAGAGTGATTCATTTTATTTTTATTATATTATTGTTATATTGGGAGTACATTTTGACATTTACAAAATATCTTAATTAAATTACCCCCTTCATCATTCTTCCTTATTCCCCCTCATGTAGAATAGTTTCTGTTTTTTAACTTAAAATTATTTTTAACTTCTCTAACAGAATTATTTTGGTTTCATGCCACATATACCGATTTAAACCATTACACTGACAAATACAGCATTCTTTAGGATATTTTTCAGATATGCTTACCAAACACGGGGCACCCAAAATCCGGGTTTTTTCTCTCCTGGTCTTAATTTTAAATTTAAGTTCTTGGACACGCTGACATTAATTCTGAATATGCCATTACAATCTTCCTAAAGCAGGAATAAACAAAGGAGGTAGAAGAAACTGGTCAGAAAGTGAAGTAAAAAAAAAAATACAGGAAATATTTCTTACATAAACTAGCAAAGGTATTCATCTAACAGTGATGTGGACAGCTACCAAGCAAACAGGAACAAAGACTTTGGAGAACAGCAGGTAAAAGTTGATGCTGAGAACAACAGCAAGTGGACAAAGAATCCCAATGCACATTTCTCCAAGGAAGATACACGAACAGCCAATGAGCACGTGAAAAGATGCTTAGTAGCTGTTAGCCATGGGGGAAATGCAAAGCAAAACCACCATGAGATATTATTTCACACTCACCAACACAGCTAGAGTCGAAGAGTCAAAATGCAAGTGCTGGCGAGGATGTGAGAAACGGGAATCCCCTGTGGAAGGTGTGCTCTGTGATGGCGCTTTGGGAAACCCACATGCTGTGATTTGGACATAGTGTGCACCCAAGGGTCCTGTGCTGGAGCTTGGTCCCCAGCCTAGTGATGTGAGAGGTAGAGGAAACTTTAGGAGTTGGTATCTAGTGGAAGTTGGTCAGGTCAGTGGGGTGCTGCTCTCAGAAGCAGAAGTAAGTCTTCAGAGTAGTTCCCATGACAGTGAATTGTCAGAAAAGAGCAAGACTTGAAATACTGTAGAGATCTCCCTGGTAGCTGGGTTCCTGTCTCACCGCGTGCTCTCTCTCTCACATGTACTCCTAACATGATGCCATCTGCCATCATGTGATCCTAACCAGAGGCTGAACAGATGGGGTCACCAAATCTTGGACTTTCAGCTTCCAAAAATGTGAGCTAAATAGGTCTTTTATCTTTATAAAGTTTCCAATCCTAAGTATTTTGTTATAGCAATGGAAAGCCAACAGTATGACTTAGTGATTCCACCACTAGGTATCTATCTACCCAAGAGAAATGAAAATGTGTGCCCACACAGAAACTTGTACATGAATGTTTATACTTGCAATATTCATAAAAGCCAAAAGGTAGAAAGAACTCAAATGTTTATCATAGGACAAATAGATAAACAAATGTCATATGCATATAATGGAATATTATTCAGCCATAGAAGGGATAAGTACTGATGATACACATGGATGATCACGAGAAAAATAAATGTGCTAGGTAAAAAGCCAGTCACAAAAGGTAACATATATGATCCCACTCATTAGGAAAGTCCAGAGCAAGGACCTCTACAGAGACAAAAAATTGATCAGGTCTTTTAGGCTTGGAGGTGGAGGGGAGGATATGGGAATAGTGGTGACAGTCAACAGATAAAATGTTTCTTTTTGCAATGATATAAATGTTTTTAAAAAGGTCATCATATGCTTTTATGGCTCAGAATATGTTAAAAATCATTGAACTGTACACTGGGGGGGG